GTTCCAAAGGTATCCGGCCGTCAAAAGCGTGACCGGTCGGACCTGGCCACACCAGGGCGCGGAAGGGACAAAATGTGCGCTTAGTTGACGGAGACTCTCGCTTTGATTTTGCGATGATCTTGCATCAGACATTAGACACCATGGGATTGGGATAGCAGCACGCCGAATCATCAACCCGTCGTTCAGTTCTTGGTGCCGTAGGATAAAAAATACTCGAATTTAGAAGTCTGTGATAGTGTCGTCAGCCCCTGTGACGAGCCCGGAGAATACTGGTTATTTCACCGTGTTCGTCACGATTTAGTGAAAACTGTAAAAAGTGATTCAAAGGGTTCGATAAACCTTCGCATTTATGGGACATGAGAGCATCTTAGCTGCTTCTGTGATGCTGTTGGCCCTGCGGTGTCGGCATAACAGCCAGCAGTTATCTGTGTAGCAGAGTGCCAGCAGCGTGCGGTCCGTACAGTGCTGATTGACTCGGAGGCTCGGCAGAGTGATTATGCCGACTGGTGCGCGGAGGAGGCTCCGGCCGGCGGGCGCGTCACTCTCCGGGGCCTGATGACCAATCAGCCGGCTCTCCGGCACCCTCGGCCGCCCACTAATGAAATGTGTGCCGGGAGTCATGACTGGCCGAACTCGGCCACTCTCGCTCTCGTCGGCGGCGGGCGACCGCCACTGGCGCCCCCGCAGCTGCCGGCGCCGCGAGGCCGGTCAGGACCGCGTCATGCTGGGGCGTGACGACTCCTATCAGTCCGGTTCCGACGTGCTACGATAATGTGCATACGGATGCAGACGTCACGGCGAACAGTCGGGAAGGCGTAAACAAAGCTACAGGGCGAAATGCAAGGCTAACAGGTGCACGAAGTCGGTCGAGAGCTGCTCACTGCTGGGATGCATTTCGCGGAGATTTGCGGGGTTTGTGGCGTTCTGTTGATTCTGCAAGTTTTAAGAAATGCGGCCCATAACTCCGCTTTAAATGACTTTGTGTTGTGTTGTCACTTTTCTCGTCGATTGCAGAGTAGGGCATCAATGCAACTTGAGGTAAGCAGTGGAACAAATAATCTGAGGTTGAGAGCAGGCACGCGCCTTGTACCACTAAAAAGATCCCTGATTTGACCCCAGGATCCTTTTAACACGAAACCCTACGGTATCCTTAATCCGACGTTGGGATCCGGGCGCATTCCTGGCTAAGAGTTATGCGAAATATTTTGGCGCAGTGGAATACGCTTAGCCCCGAATTATCACCGATGCCTGACCTGATCCCCGCAGTGGTACCGCTCACCCGCACCACATGCCAGATGACCATCGCATGACCTGGAGTGAGGTGTAGCGGTGCCAGTCCCATTCCATGACAGATGGACCGCGGATCGGCCGGATATGCCATCACGGGCGAGTAGCGGCGCCGGCCGCGCGACCGTGAAGGCGCCACTCGCCCAGCAAACATCGCGACAGGCGTCTTGCGACCGTCAAGCCTAGCCGCATGACATCAGCGGCAGGGGCGACGGCGCCGCGCGCCCGCCGCCCTCGAGTCAATGAGTAAGGTGTCTGTTGCCCCGCAGACACCGGTGCTCCTCTTATGGTCACCGACTTAATGAGTCAGTCACAGCTTCTCCACCCACGCTCAGCGCCCATCACATGTGTAGTCTGGCTGTCCCGCCGGCGGGCAGCAGGATCCCCAGGTAAAGGGTAGATTAGGCTTGCTCACAGGCGCCTGTAAACGGCTGATCAGGAAGTTGTTTTCGCGCGGCGTTTGGGTTTTCGCGGGCTTTTGCTCTGTTCGCAGTTCCGGACGACTCAAGCAGCTGCAGTAATGAAGGACGTTGCATTTGTTACCGGCCAGCAGGAAATCATCGGACAGTTACAGGGCTGGCTTTGAACGCGACCGTCTCTCCAATTCTTGATTAACGGAGATGAAGTATGATGCAGCGATGTGGAATTTCCAAACCTTTCTGGATGCATGACTCTCACAATCTCACACGAGTCGCCGATGAGCGCCCACCCAAACCTCAACATCGTCTAAACCGCAGACTGACGTAGGCCCCCAGGTTGCGTGCACCGCGGCATTTCCCGTGACATCATACTGAAGCATTCACCGCGGTGTGGCCGCCGTGTGCGTGTTTAGGGTTGTCGCTGGTGCGTGCAGCGCGTTGCTTTGCCGGTCTTTGGTCTTTATAAAGCCGACTGCGTTGAGGCTACCGGAGCACTCTGGAATCGCTCACGGCAACCAGGTTGGAGGGTGGCATCCATCTCCCACCCACTGACGCAAATCAAGTCGTTGAAGGACTTCGTGTGGGCCAAGATAGCTCACGCTCACGATTAACTCAAGGCCTTTACGAGACGTTAAGCATTGTTCTGAATTCACTTGAGACGTAATGTATTTTTCGGCGCCCATGTCTGCGCTCGCCGCACATTATGCGTCCATTGACTTCATCGACTGAGCTTTGTTCTGGCAGTTTTTGAAAAGAATCAAGGACTGTTGAAGCGTGTAGCGTATAGGAATAGCTCATTGCACGCATCGGCTCAGTAGGTTTGTATTTGACATGACGAGTGATGGGGAATTGCCTACATGCATGTGACATATAAATGATCAGAGTATCGACGCAACGTGTTTGTGTGTCTGAACATTGGGAGGATTAATCTTGTCAGTGATTTCGGGGACCAGAGACCCGAGGATTTGGGGATGGTATTTTTCCCAAACCATGTCCGATGCCTGAATATTTGCTTGTTTCTAGGCCAATGCCGTTAGTAAATTGTGAATGTCTAGTGTCGAGACATATTTTTTCGAGACATCTCTTGAGCTACTTGATGGATCGCAATGCAGCATTGCCTGCCTCCATTTTGAGCCCCTGTATGCCCGAATAAGGGAGATATATCGATCGAATAGTCTGGGCCTCCTGTTCCAATGCGAAGGGTACAGTCTCCCATCCTTATTGTGGCTCGACCTCTGATCCTCGACGATATTATGACCACTGAAGCCACTGGTGTCCCATAAGAGCGGTCTAGCGATGTGCGCTGTGTCACCTTTAACATACCTTAGCTGTTTTTTTTCCTGTAAAATTGTTTCTCGGAGCTCTGGTTTTCCTTGGCCCGTAGCCTTTCTCAAAGTCTTCAGGTTTCCGATTTTTTATGTGCTTGGCGAAACGGATCTGATACTCAGGGACTCCCGATATTCTTCGAGCTTTCAGATTTGAAATTATTCTTATGCTTCTGGTGGTTTGCTCCATTCGCCTCATTTCATACTGTGTTGTTCACTGAGTCGTGGAGCCACAACACGCTCCGGAGGCATGACTGGCCCCCTGGAAGGGCGTAGGCTGCTGATTTTCCACATGGTTTATTGCTGCCATGTCTTCAATTCGCAGCGATAGCCAAACGCCCAAATGCTATCATCTCGTTGGACATGAACAACGTACGAGTAGAATTAAGCCATGTACCCAACCAGCATTGCTAGTAATTAGCTTTGTGAGCCGGCCAAAAACTGGCCATCGTGCACCTGGTGGCTAATGTTGACCGGGTTTTTGTTGCAGCAGCCCTTCTGCTTGGTCAACCTGAATGCACTGCGACACATGGAGCTGGTTCAAGCCCGTGGGCGACATTTTGAATAATCTAACGGTGTTAGCCGACGTCTTAATAAAGGCTGGATTTGATGCGAGGCGGGTCTCTGCCAGCCAGGAATTAGTTAACTGTATATGTATTGTCAGTTGTGGGCTAAGCGTGGGCGTCGGCAGGACAAGGCTGAACCATGGCACCTCTGCTACTCCTTCATTGAGCGCTGACTCAACATTGACCGACGAAATAGGTTATTTTGCTGTGCCGTGTGTTGTGCACTTTGCACGCATGATTTGTACCGATATCTTTAGTTGTGCGTCATGCCCACACTCAAGTCATTACGGCTGCCGTTTAAGTTTTTGAAAGAGGGACCGCCGCGCGGACGCAGTCTCTGCTTGATAGAGGCTTTGTACCATGCGGCAGTCCAACGTTTGCCCTGGACGCTCTTCGCAGTCTCTGCTTGATGGATGCTTTGTACCATGCGGTAGTCCAACGTTTGCCCTGGGCGCTCTTCGCAGTCTCTGCTTGATAGAGGCTTTGTACCATGCGGCAGTCCAACGTTTGCCCTGGGCGCTCTTCGCAGTCTCTGCTTGATGGAGGCTTTGTACCATGCGGCAGTCCAACGTTTGCCCTGGGCGCTCTTCGCAGTCTCTGCTTGATGGAGGCTTTGTACCATGCGGCAGTCTAACGTTTGCCCTGGACGCTCTTCGCAGTCTCTGCTTGATGGAGGCTTTGTACCAAGCGGCAGTCTAACGTTTGCCCTGGACGCTCTTCGCAGTCTCTGCTTGATGGAGGCTTTGTACCATGCGGCAGTCTAACGTTTGCCCTGGACGCTCTTCGCAGTCTCTGCTTGATGGAGGCTTTGTACCAGGCGGCAGTGTAACGCTTGCCCTGGACGCTCTTCGCAGTCTCTGCTTGATGGAGACTTTGTACAAGGCGGCAGTCTAATGTTTGCCCTGGACGCCCTTCGCAGTCTCTGCTTGATGGAGGCTTTGTACCAGGCGGCAGTGTAACGTTTGCCCCGGACGCTCTTCGCAGTCTGCTTGATGGAGGCTTTGTACCAGGTGGCAGTGTAACGTTTGCCCCGGACGCTCTTCTACTAATTGCGACAGGTGGTCGGGCTATATGTAAGCCAGATGCTCTTAAGGAGAAATAGCTAATTTTACCGATACCTGAAAATATTGTAGGAGCTGGAATTAGATGTTTATGTTGCAAATACGGGCGTTCCATTTTTGAACCCTTTCATGCGCTCCTCTAACTCGCATTGTTCATCTTCCCTTTCCTTTTTCTCGAGCCAAAGGGCCGGAATGCCTTGTGATACCCGGTCACGCATTCCGCAGTCCAGTTTCAGTTGGCCTGATTGGCCAGAGTGCGGGGGGCGCGGCCGGCAGAGGGCGAGAGCGGGCCGCTCAGGCCGGCCCCCGTCTCGGACCTCAGTCTACTCCGGACGCCGCCAGGTGGCGGGCAGCCGACAGCGGACGGCCGGGCCGTACACGGAGGCAACGGGCGACGCCGGCCGCGTGACTGCGTGCTGCCTCCAGCGACACCGGCGGACGCGGCGGCCGTCAGCGTGTGTGACGCGTCGACTGACGGGGCCTCTGGCACCGGACGGGGGTCGGCGAGCGGTCTGTGAGCGGCCGATGCGGCGCCATGTGAGCGGTGAGGCCCGCCAGTGACGCCCGCGGACAAACAGTGACGAGCGACAGCGGCCCGCGTATGGAGAGTCAGCTGTAGACAAACACACAGCCTCGTTGATTACAGGTGAGCTGACGTATAGCAAGTATCTGCGGACGGCCCAATGACTCGCCCCGAGCGTGGAGCAGGGCTGGGATGCCCGGGAATGCGGAGACGACGTTGGGGAAGCTCATGCGGAATTCTGGTTGTATGATTATAAGCTAAACTACGTCATTTGAACAACTCAAGCCTTGGCCACTGGATTTAGTATTGATGTGATTAAAACATTTGTAGCCATCACTGAAGTATTTTCCTTGGTACGGAGCAGACATGTGCACTTCCCTTCGCCTGTGCTTGCCTGCATGGATTTCGCACGATCAATGTCGAGTGCGAGAAAGGAGGAAATGAACGTTTTGGTGGCTACCAGGCACAGGTGTGGAGCGACGCGCACGACATATGCGCTGCTTTAGCGTCGGGCATGACTCTGCTGCGCTGTGAGAATCACGCGTCGCGGTTTAGTGCTGGTTCCGACTTGCCAGCCCAACTGGCCTGCCGCTGATTAATTGGTCGCAGGGCCGAGGTGTTCGCGCTGTCGGTGGTGAAGTGAGCGACAGTGAGCCGCATGGGACACTGGAACAGATGGACAAGGAGAACCAATTCCAGCCGGTTGTTTGGCAATGTCAACCATTCACACGCCGGTTGCGTGATTACCGCACTGGTCATGCAAACTTAACCATGCATCTTTACATCTATCAATAACAGTCTCACTGTTGCATGGCCCGTGAAGGACGGATATTACGATGCTTTATGAGGCTGACGTGCAATCCAAACGCGTCACAACGACGAAGCGCCCGTGAAGCCGTCCTGCAAGCCCGAGGGTACAATATGCTCGAATTGGGTCCCCCGCGCTGGCCTGCTTCCTTGGGTAGCGCGATCCCGTCACTGACCCAAGCCCTATCAGTTCACCTAACAACTGAGCATTCTCATTTGTATTGAGCCAATGATGTCACTCTTAAGGGACCATATAACGGAGCATTAATTACACAGCTCTTTAGTGGCCTGCCAACACCAGCTGCTGCTCGTGACTGTTGTAGTACGGCCGTGCAACATGCACGAGATGCACTGATCACCACCCACTACCCGCCAGTGGGAGGTGATAAGACTTGGGAGTATGCGGCGACAGTGTGAGGCGATGAGGCTTGGAAGTGGGAGGCTACAGTGGGAGGCGATAAGGCTTGCTTATGTGAGATGCACCGAATGGTTCTGTGAGTGCTCAACTGATTTCGTGCCGTCACATGGCGTGACATAACCTGGACAGTGACTGGGGACGAGCGCGTTCCGGTGATCACAGCAGACATTGACTGCGAGCGAGCTCCAGTGATCAGAGCAGACAGTGGCTGGAAACGAGCGACCCTGGTGATCACATCAGGCAGCGACTGGATACGAGCGAGCTTTGGTGATTACAGCAGACGGTTACTGGAGACGAGCGAGCTCCGGTGATCACAGCAGACAGTGGCTGGAAACGAGCGAGCTCCGGTGATCACATCAGACAGTGACTGGAGACGAGCCAGCTTCGGTAATCACGGCAGACAGAGACTGGAGACGAGCGTCCTCCAGGGATCACAGCAGACAGTGACTGGAGACGAGCCAGCTTCGGTAATCACGGCAGACAGTGACTGGAGATGAGCGTCCTCCAGAGATCACAGCAGACAGTGACTGGAGACGAGCGTCCTCCAGGGATCACAGCAGACGGCATGTGTTTCACCGTGTCCCTACACAAGCGAACGGCAGAGCAGTTATTGTCCTGTCCAACTCCAGCGAACAACAGATGTTAGATAATGAAGGCACACTAAATGGGAGCCAACAATGCCTGAGCCTAGTCCTAATAATGGGGCCCGTGCTTCACTACCCAGGATGCCACAGGGACCACAATGAGCAAGCAGTGGGTTGCGTATACCTGTCTGATGATTTATGCACAGCGGCGCCAAAGAATAATAAAAGGTTCTGAGCCTTCTCCGGTAGTTCAACGCAGCCAGTGCAGAACAGCGGTAAAACTGCCGGTTTTTGCAAAGCATGTTAAGGCTCAGCGTGCTGATAGTGCCAGTGCGCATCTCCGCTGTACTGCGACTGGCGCGGCTTTGAACACCATGTACGCCTTCTCGCACCCTAGAGCACTTCGCTGATTGGATCTCCCCGTAGATGGTAGATAGATCCCTGAGAAGGATTGGACTGGACCAGAAATTTGGCAGCACATAGATTAGGACCGGACCGGATTTTAAGAAATGACGGACCACGCGGATTGAACGTAATCAAACTCAATTCTAGTTCAAAGGATGCCGATTGGATGTGAAACTCAGGAGGACTACTGCAACCACAGGAGGACTACTTTGAATGAACTGCGGTCCTACAAATGTCGTGGATTCAATTATAGGCAATGGATAGGTATTCTAGGTTATTCATGCCAGCAAATAAGTGACTGGATGTTTTCACAAAAAATTGACTTGTTACGAATAATGTCGGCACGCTGGTAGGTGGACATCATGTCATTTACCGCCATGCATGCAGGTGATTGCAAAATTAATTATCATAGCTGATTGCCAGCAATTTGCCAAGAAAAAATGCAGAGCAAAAACATCATATATAGCCACACCTCAGTAACATGATGGATGGCAATTTGGTGGTTTTATATCATTCACATCTTTGATGACTTTCACACGGTGTGAAAAAAGAAAGCATTACAGGTCTGCACCCATTTCAGTACTTTGTTTTTGGTGCTCACTTACCAATGCCAGCGAACCTTGTACAACGCTCTAAGGTTAAAACTGAAATCAGTGACATCTTGTCATATTGCTGGCTAACTTCCGTTATGGTCAAATAAATATCAAAAGCGTGTTAAACACAACAACGCTATCCTTACCTCAGCACCGAAGGTAACTTAGCTTGCGATTGCCAAAGTCCTTGACAAATGCATACGCTAAATCACAGAGGTGGAGGGAGATAACATGTCGTCACATTTTCCGATACACATTCCACTCATATCATCATGCATTACTCTCGCGCCGTTCCCGACCTCCCGACAATGCACTTTACCAAAAGGCAGGCCAAATTGCCACTGTGGTGCCGAACACGTGACATATATACCTGGCACGTTGTATTCAAATACATCGATCCTGGCAGAACGATGATCCGTATCCACCACCTTTTTTCTGTCTTTGACGAATGATCACCAAATCGTGTTATAAACTACATCTAAATTATTACTATTATATATATATATATATATATATATATATATATATATATATGCATATATTATGTTAGAGGTTCAGGGTTTATCAGGTACTCGGAGCTTAATATGTGCTCGGATGGGGGATCAAATTCACCTCCCCTCCCCCAACGTTTTTAGAAAAATCTTGTGAACAGTATGGCGTAACAGGATTAATTAACCTTTGTTAGCTACACAGTTGAAAGGGCGATTTTTTGGAATCAGAACGGGACACGCCTGGTATGGTCACGGAGAAATAGCACGTCAAATGCATGCTACGACTGTCAGGGAAGGCAACTGCTAGGAAATTGTTCAATCTGATGCAACAACCGACTTTGAGACATCACACAGCATTGCGATGGTTTCTGAAACAATCAGAAAACTGAACTTTGGATTTCAACCAAGTTCGTTGACCTTGGGTCAGGTGTGAAGGTCAAATAAAAGGCAAATATACATTGCATTATTAGCGGGAAATTGCCTTCATGGTGTAGTTGTTGATGCTCAGTGCAGATCAGGGATGCCATTGGCCTAATATTTTTTTTGAATTTTTAACCTTGTGCCCAGAGTAAAACTTGCACCCAGCATAATTCTTGCCACTGGTTTTGGATTAAGATATCAAAACGGTGTCGAATATTTTTGCTCATCTCAACATTTCTAAGGTCAAAGAAGGTCATTGACCTGACATCAAGACCAGTGACCCTTTGTTCAGAAATGATATATTGTTTAAAGCTGATTGCGTGAGGAGACCGGAGGGCACTGTGGACACCGATCCTGAGTTTTACCTTGTCTGACCTCTTTGGCGCGAAGTTCACGCCCAAGGGACGTCAATGTTTGATTCAACTGGATCACAAGAGCCGTATCTGCTATGTAAAGGTTATGTCTCTAGCTCTGTTGGTTTTTGAGATCTCAGGGGGTCCAATTTATCCCCTCCCACCCGGGTGTGTTTTAATTTTGCGCCACGGAGGCTGTGTGTGTTATGTGCCACTCACCAAGACTCTTTGTTACATAAATGAAAAAGATAAAATAACATCCCTCGATAAATGCTGGGTAATAAGGCGAGATTACAAAGCAACGACCGTGGACAAGACTTAACGCAGTTTTGATGTTTCCTACATTATTCAGGCATCCTACAAAAATGTTGCGCTTACTCTTGAAGCCAGGGGCTTATCTAGTCTGGAGCTGTTCTTTTTTTTTGGGGGGGGGGGTAACCGTTCGTCGCCAGCTGGCTGGTGCGGGATCCGAGGTCCAGTGCATGGTGCCTCTCGCGAGTACGTAGTAGGGACACCATTCAAGCACCGAAATGCTTTTGAATCTTCTATATACAGTATGCAGGTTTAAAAAGCTCGTAACCTTCATTTTGAGGTATTAATTTGCTATTATGTATTTGCTATTATGTAGGCTTTTATCCTGAGGTACATCTTTTGAGGTAAGTAGACGAAACTTTTATGAAGTTCTGGGAATGTTTTCCGTTGGCCAAAACATACTCTCACAGTTTTTTGGGGGCCATGGTCCCGTGCCCCCCCCCCCTCCCCTCCCAGGATCCGCCTATGCTTGAAGCTAAGCACCTCTTATAAACCTCACGATTAGAGACATTTTGAAGTTTTCAAGCTTAGTTTGCCTCGTGTCGTGTCTGTCAGTAGCTTAAATTTGATGCTTTCACCAACAAATCGTCAAGGGCCTCCGTCTTCCTAGCTAAAAAGCAGTGTTTGTACAGTTTCCATCGGCACGCAACTGCAGCTGCTAGCTATTTTAGTGGGAAGAACACAAAAAATATGCGACAGTCCGGAATGAATTTATGTCAAAATAATATATTTCAGGGGCGGATACGTGCAAAACGTTGGGCACTGGTTTGATCTGCCAATGAGGCACTGTTCTCCCTTGATTGTTATACTCAGATAGTGAGTCCAGTCCATATATCTCGAGGGGTGACGTGCGGGCACCTGGTCACATGTTTATGGCAATTCCAGAGAATCCCTAACCATCCCGCACACAACTGTCACTGCTACAGAACTGATGGTGTGCCGCTCGGTCACGTGCGACTTACAAGCTCGCATCTCGACTCACATGCGACCTAACTCACGTTTGGGTGATATTGAAATGGAAGCACGACTTCTGGGCTACTTTGGTTCGATTACAGCGATCTCGGCAATCCCGGATTGATGGGACGCTCTCGCCATTCGAAATATTGAAATACCCGGTGAATGATGGGCTCGGGATCTTGGCGTGACGGCGCTGCGCTGAGCCGATGCCAAGTTGTGACTGGACGCCCGGCGATTGCTGACTGAGCATTCCCGAACGCGTTCTGGCGCACAACACGCTCACTTTCCATCAGCCGCGGGCGCACCCCCGACACCCGGCGAGCGCCACCCGCCGGGCCGGCCGACCCTCGCACCGCGCACCGCTCCGCGGCGCCGCACGCACGCCGCCCAATTAATCCGCGCCGGTGCTGAGGGGCGATGCGGGCGCCAGGATCACAACGCTGCGCCGGGGCCACCTCCCGCCCCAGGATCGCCACTGCCGCGCCGCGGCGGCCGTCGCCCCGCGCCAGGATCGTGCTCTCCGGGAGTACGCGCTTCCCGGCGTTGCGGTCGCCGCCTGCGTCGCGAGCTTAGCTGGGCGGCTGGCGGCGGCGGCGGCCGGCGTCGCTGCAGGGCCGCCTGTCGTGTTGCGTCGGCGATGTACGGCGGGTACTTGGGAGCGGCGCCACCAGCGGCACCTGTGGCCGGCTCTCAGCGCCGCCGGGGGCAGACGGCCAGTGGACGTGCAGCCGGTCCGGGTCAGCCGGCGCTGGACACCGGTGGGAGGGGGGGGGGGGGGGGAGTACCGCCGGACGGGAGACGAGTTATCACACCACTGTACAGAAGGCGCTGCTGAATAGGTGCAGTGGTGTTCGCTTTAGATTATACGAGTCACACGAGATAGGGGACCAGATAAGACGTTATAATCTATATTTATAGGACCATTGAAGTCAGTAGAGTTTTGTTTTACCAGGACTCAAACTGTTTTACTGTCGCGCTATGTCAGGGCCCTAATCTCGCAGATTTTCGATGATACGGCTCGGCGGGATGGAATTTGTGGGTGCATGGTCTGACCCCATGTGGGCGGTCGGCCGCCCCGCGTAGACAGTCGTCTGATGTATGCGTCTGCAAACGCTAGCGGGGATTGTGGGCGGTTGGCTTCCACCGGCGCTGGTGGGCAGTTGGCTTCCACGGGAGCTGGTGGGCGGCTGGCGATTCCTGATACCGCATCCGATTTAGGAAACGCTTTAGTGTAAGCAACGACGGTGATGTGATTTAGCTCAACGCTTCGCACGTGCTTGCGGCACATAGACTTCCCTCCCTAGCTTTTCCGTCGCGCGTAAATGCGTTGTGAAATGTCGTTCAACATGCGGAAGCCAGGTCGGTGGGACCGTCTCGGCTGTGGCAGATGTGCCGTCTGACCCGCCGCTGACCGACAGCCTGTCCGACATGTTAGACGTGAACTAGGTTATTTAGCCGCAGTTCCCGCTGTTTAGCCGCAGTGCGCGCTGACACGGCGGGTGAGCCGAGACCCGAGAGAGCGAGGGGGCGCGGACAGGGGTCAGGGGTGGTCGCAGGCTGGGTGCTACCGGTGGGAGGAGCGGCTCCATGCTAGTATTGTGAACGGGGACGTCACGCTCGATGTGGCCTTGTTCCGACCCAAGCACGAGCCCCAGTGCCGCGCCGGCTCGCCGTTTTTAGGACCACTGTTGCCGTCGCCATTATCATGATAATGAAAATGTAAATACCGTTTTTCACAAAGGGTCAGTCCACTGGTGAACGGGAGATATTTGGGATGAAGCCGATCCGGTCCAGCAGCCGTGCTGGTGGCCGCCTCCGTACGGAGCACCCGACCGGTGGGTCTGCTCCAGCCCGTCCGACGCTCCGGTGACCGACAACGGAGCTGGTTGTGCGTGTCCGCGGCCTAGCACTGGGGGACGCTGCTGACGGAAGCTTCTCGGGATCTCACGCAGCCGCAATGATTATCTCGGGTACAAGTGATGGTATCTTAAATCCAATTCCGTTTCCTCGCTTACGAATGTTATGGAACGAGAAATTAAATGCATGCTGGCTGCAGGCAGCGGGCTACGAAGAGTGTTTAGACGTCTCGCACGTTTTGCCGAGATAGCCTGCGGGTTATTCGGCGCGGTATGGCGCGGTCGGCGGCCCTCTCGTCCCACGCACGCCGGGCAGCATTTTAATCTGCGCCGCCCCGCCGATTGAAAGACATTTCGGAAATCGGTCACCCTGATATCGCGCCGATTTGAAGGGAAAATGAAACTGAAGTTGGCTAAGTGGCATACAAACTCCCCTGTTTGGGCGGAGTTGTGCCGTCGCCGGACCGAGTCAGCACATAGTCGTTACAGACGGCTGGCGGCGCGACGTTCCTGCGTCGCCGAGTGGCGGGGCACGTACTTCTGGATGAAAGTCGAGAGAGAGAGAGGGAGAGAGAGAGAGAGAGAGAGAGAGAGAGAGAGAGAGAGAGAGAGAGAGAGAGAGAGAGAGAGAGAGAGAGAGAGAGAGAGAGAGAGAGAGAGAGAGAGAGAGAGATAGAGAGAGAGAGAGAGAGAGAGAGAGAGAGGAGAGAGGGCAAACGCCGAACATGCGTGTGGTCCTTGTCGCGACTGTGTGTGCTGTATTAAGGTCCCTCAGGGATGTCAATTTCTTTGAGCTAGATGGGAAGGGGAGAGCCTGGAGCCGATAAGCTAATCTCATCAATGTGTGTTACCAACACATCAGACCCATTTTATTTTAAAGCTAAGCAACAATTTGTAGTTTTGTTGTTATATCATTTCTCAAGTAGTTATTAATTTAGATATTATGACAGCTTCCAAAGTCTTGAAGTAATGTACAAAGACCAGATAATTTGTGCGATATTTATCTTCTTGATTTGTGTTTGCAATATTCTTAAAAAATACATTGCGGTTCCAATCCATTTTAAAGGGATTGTTTCACATTTGAAGATAATGAAGCAAGCATCAGATATGATGACACAAGCTCAATTTTAACGGTGGATATGCTTTTAAGTAGAAAAGACTGCTCTAGGAAACACAATTTTTTTGTTTAGTAAATACCTTCAACAAGACGCCATTATTGGATTACGTCATCGCACCTTGCACAACATTGGTTGAGAGCCAAGTGACGGCCGTTATATCTATCAATTTTCCCCACGCACATCAGCTGCAAATGACTCGACCCTTATAGTTTTCTTGGCCTTGATCACCGCATGGCTTATAGAATGACAGGACTGAAGTGGCGTTATCATGACGTCATGAATGTCAAGTTGACTTTGAAATACTTTCCCCGAAAAAGTACCCCGCCTACAAGGGCGTTTAGCTCAGAAACTAGGGGGCCTTAGGCCTTAAGAAGGGCAAGGCTGTGTACTGCACCGTGGTATCTTTAAGATGGCTTTTTCAGCTCAGCACTCCATAGAAATGTGGAGCGTTCTCTTAAGGAGAAAGAACCCTCGCAAAAGAAAACAAATCGACCGCTCTCCTGTACGATATGTTACCACCCCCAGCATTTCAAGCCATGCATGTATTGCACCATAAACATTTCAGCTAGTTTGGCGCATACACTGCCTTTTCCGGGCTTTTTCGTATGCTCTAAATACACACGATATGTATCTGAGCATAGTGTAGCAGATGTGCTTACCGTGCATTGACTACTACATGCTATGAAGAAGAAGTACAATTGAGCCCCCACGTGTGCATATTTCTTTGAGCCGAGGCATCAGACACGTTCATCCATGATCACTCCTTACGCCTGTTGGTAGCTATGACAGTCAGCTAGACACCTTCCAGCATATTCTGACTGAGTCACCGCTTGTTCCAGAGATGGAGCGACGCTGGATTGGCGTCTGTCTGCTGTGGTGTCTGGCTACCCTGAGCACGCTCCAGCCCGCACACGGTTAGTGTCCTCATAAGCCCGGGCCCGGCGCACGGTGGTGAGTGTCTTGACAAGCCCGGGCCCGGCGCACGGTTAGTGTCTTCACAAGCCCGGGCCCGGCGCACGGTGGTAAGTGTCTTGAGAAGCCCGGACCCGGCGCACGGTGGTGTGTTCTCACGAGCACCAGCCCGGCGCACGGTGGTGAGGGTCTTGACAAGCCCGGGCCCGGCGCACGGTTAGTGTCTTCACAAGCCCGGGCCCGGCGCACGGTGGTGAGTGTCTTGACAAGCACGAGCCCGGCGCAAGGTGGTGTGTCCTCACAAGCACCAGCCCGGCGCACGGTGGTGAGTGTCTTGACAAGCCCGGGCCCGGCGCACGGTGGTGTGTCCTCACAAGGCCGGGCCCGGCGCACGGTGGTGAGTGTCTTCACAAGCCCGGGCCCGGCGCACGGTGGTGAGTGTCTTCACAAGCCCGGGCCCGGCGCACGGTAAGTGTCTTCACAAGCCCGGGCCCGGCGCACGGTGGTGAGTGTCCTGACAAGCTTGGGACCGGTGCACATTGAGTGTCCTCACGAACCCTGGCGCGGCGCACGGTGAGTGTCCTCACCAACCTGGCCCGGCGCACGGTGAGTGTCCCCACTAGCCCGGGCCCAGTGCGCCCACCGGAATCCAATCAGCCCTGGGCTCCCGTGGCTTCTAGAAGGTGACGTCAGAGCAGAAAACGGCGACGTCACCGACCACATCAGGATGATTGGACGCGCTATGGTGGCTGAACACGCCAGAACACGCGAACTCACCAGAGCGTACCCACACATCAGGGTTGCTGTACAAAACGGTGTTGCTGAACACGTCAGAGCGGTTGATTACAGTATAACGGCTCAACACTGCTAGGCGACTTAAGTCATTTCAACGACTTAACACGCCGGAATGACAGAACACACCAGAACCACTGAAACACCAGAATAAATAGACACCACCGCATCACCGACGTATCACGAGCGATGAGAGCGGCGCTGAGCATGCGGGACCGCACCCGCAGTGACGAGGTTGGGCACAGGTCAGGTCGACGAGGACTTGTGGTCCTCTGTGGCGATGTCGGTGGCTTAGCTGGGGTCTCGTTGAGCGCCAGTCTGCCTGCCTGTGCTGTGGAGGTGCGCGGCACGGTGATGTACAGGGCATGCGGCCGCCCGCTCCCAAGCGGTGCGTAAAGTGACCCCGGCCCGTGGCGCTGCCGGCCAGCGGTCACACCGATCGTCCATCCTTGCTGACCGGGAGCGAGCGCTGGCGGGTAACCGGTCACACAGACGGCCCACTCCAGCTGCCTGGGAGCGAGCTCTGGCGGGGCCAGAAGTGCGCGGCGAAGTTGAACGGGCTTAGGAAATGCACGACAGGGTTCGGATGATATGTACTATGTGGCAGGATTAAACGATGTTTGCACCGGAACTCGGAAAGTTATAGCACAAACAATGTACCCAAGTGCACGCGACTGCTCTGTTGGTAGCAAGAGGTGATAACCGATATGTAATACACCAAAAGGACGACTTGCATTTCGCCAGGAGGAGCACACGGCAGCGAATGACATCGAGAAATTGCGACGGATCTTTTCACGTGAATGGAGCGGTCACGGTTACTTAAATAACAGCGCTGCTGAGGGTAGAAGGGTGTGCATCCTGGTAACGCCAGATTTTGAAAGAAAGGATGACGACTGCAGATGGATTATCTTGAAAACGGTAGTGTCCGGGAAGCCACCTATTTTTAGGTAACGTCTGCTGTTCTTACATAGATGCACTAGATAGCGCCTTGCTTGCAAATAATTTGCTTAAGCGAAGTACAGGGTGAAAACATCATTTTGACCGGTGACTTCAAGACGACGATTTGCCCCTATTTAGATTATGACCGGCAATCTCGTGATGAAGCGTGTTAGTATTTAGGACGTAGAAATGAAATATTATGAGAACCAATATAGGAATTCAACCCACTTGATGTCTGGCGCAATTAACATCCACTTAGCAGGCAGTACACATTTTCAGAGGAATGTCGAAATCCAGACTTGACTGTTTCTTCATGTCTTTGCGCATAACGCTAGCAAAACAACCTAACTCAACTACCCTTCTTGCGCCCCACCTTTCTGGTCGCCGAGCAGGCAGACTGAACTGTTTGCCAGAAAATCCAGTGAAGTACCCTAGCTGGTGCAAATTTATTGATAGCCCGTTCACGGATAAAGTTTTGTGGCAGAACCTACGCAGTTCTTGGGAAAAGTCATAGTAAATAAGATGTGCTTCGTACGGTTCGGATTCTGCTTTTCGAAACAGTCAGCTTTCAGCTTTCCTCATGACACGCAACAATATCATTCAGTAGATATCAAAATTAAAGAAGACTTGATATAAACGCTTAAAACAGCATGAGGAGACTGCAGCCATAAGAAATGGATATTTATCATGCATATGAAATTATACAGACTAATGTGTTTGATAGGCGTTGCATTAAATATAGGAGATTAGGATCCAATGTGCTGGGTTGCGAGACGAATTTGACCGCTTATACCGAGAAGTTCGCATCATTTTTTTCTGGAAGCGTGTAGAGGGAACTTCCGTGTTATCTGAGACATGTTAATTGATTGAATATTCAGACAATTCGAACCAATGGTTCGATAGGTTTCGACACATACTCACAAAGTGCAACACCTACTCTCGCTTGTCTCTAAGTTCCACTTGATGTTGCTAGCGAGAGTCGCTTTGTAAGAAGGACCAAAGGAGGAATAATGCACATTGTGAGGAATGTGGCCTGGATTTTACGGCCTAAGAGCTGACAGCAGTGCTGGCTTCAATAAGCCGAACACATTACCAGGTCCGTGTGGCTGAGCCGCTGGGGTTTTCAGAACGTTTTGGGAACTTTTATGGCTTTTTTCAAGGCGTTGAAACGGACATTTTTGCTAATGGGCACCTGCCTAAATTGGGAACAAAAAGACGTCACGGCGCTTATTCCAAAAAAGTGGAAGGATGAAAGACGTGTTGGGCATTAAAGTCCCATCAGTTTTTTACCGTTGCCCTATAAGATAATAAGCCAATACAGTTATTCGACGTCTGAAAAGAGTTATAGGCGATCATATCTACGCAGACTAGACCGGCTTTAAAAAAAAAAACAGATGCATGCGCTAACGCATTAAAATAATCCGAGATTCATGGAACATGCAGGCCGTTGCGGGACCAAAGGATTGTTCGTTCAGTGCGATTTCTTTGAAGCCTCGATTGCATTGTTCGGGGTTCACTAACGATGTAATATATCAGACCGGTTTTGGGCCTCACTTTCAGCGATAAATTGGCATGCGTCATCTTGCACATACGTGTAGGGCCTCAGTAAACGTCAACAGCTATATGTCGCGAGAAGATTAAATTGAAAGATGGATTAGACAGGGTTACCCCGTGATCTGTTTGATTCGGCTGTTCTGCATAGAGTCACTTGCTAATGTGGTTGTAGAAACAACACCATACGTGGCATTAGGGTGTCACAGTCTGATCTAAAACTTACTATCCATGTCAACGATTTAACCAACAGTTTAGCGAGAGCTTATTAAAGTTCCTCAATGTTGCCAAGACATTATATAGGATAAGGTCCGTGTCTTTTATGAAAAGGTCCGTGGATAAGGTCCGATTCCGTGTAGCTGCTGCATCGATCCAGGAAGTCGTGTTCCACGAGCTACATCGGAAACCACTCAAAATTGCCATTTTGACTGCCAGTTTGCCAAAATTGTCAAATTGTCGGTCTCAAAATCATTGCTGTAGTCTGGCCCCACGATCTGTACGTCTCCTTGGTTGGCCAGGGCGCCATCCGACCACGGTCTCGGCGCACACTAGTGAGCCATCGCGTAATTGACGGCAAAGCTAAGCCCCTGTCGTAGAGAAAACCTTTGCAAGTGAATCGCACAGCAAAACTAATGCCCGCTTATCACGCAATCTCGAGGCGCTAAGTCGCCAGTGACCAAACCAATCTCTGCTGATCCGGAATTATTCGCTAGCTATTCAAGTGTCAGAACTCCGATTCGAGTGAGCTACCGTTCCTGTAGGCATTGCCGGCTGCTCTCTGATTTGCTGCTCTGCAGGACTGTGTGGCTCCGAATACGTGCACCAGGGCTTACCAATTTCACACTGCGCAAATACCCTCTATGTCTGCTGCAGTTTCTCTGTGGAACAGTGCCGTGAGCTGATATGAGGCGGGACTGGTTATAGCATACCTACGCGTCAATCAGGACGTGATGGATACTCTGCCTATGTGAATGCAAGAGAGATTATGCAATCTGCCTCTCCGCAAACCCTTTGCTGTCTTAGGCAATGTCAGCGGCTGTCATGATTCATATCTTTTCCTGACCGCACAATGAAGCTCTCTTCCGATTCCTTTGACAATGCATGTTGAGGACCAGCAGCATCCCTGTCTGTCCATGCAGTGCTAACGCACGGCTGTGATTGGCTGTATTGTTTGCTGCACAGGCATCACTGAATCATCCTGTTTCTCAGCGTGTCTCAGCTTCTGGAAGTCACCCAGGGAAGGACCGATACACCACCAGCGTTTCCCTCATAGCACGACTGCTCTGACCTCACAGGGTGCTCGGAGCCGCTGGGCCTGATGACGGGGGAGGTGGAGGACTGGCAGGTGGCGGCCAGCAGCACCCTCAGCTCGGACAAGAACTGCAACACTAAGTACGCCCGGCTGCACGGCCCCAGCGGACGGGCCTGGTGCGCCGGCTACAAGCGCGAGGCCGAGTGGCTACTCATCGACCTCGGCGTCGAGGCCACGGTCAGTGGGGTCAGAGGTCAGGCCACGTGCAGTGGGGTCAGGGGTCAGGCCACGAGCAGTGGGGTCAGGGGTCACTGGTTAGGCGACGGTTAGTGGGTCATGGGTCATACCAGTGGGGTCAGGGGTTAGGTCACGGTCAGTGGGATCAGTGGTCAGGGGTCAGGCCACGGCCAGTGAGGTCCAGGGTCAGCTGGGTCATAGTCAGGTCACGGTCATGGTCATTTGGGTTGGTCAGGCTGCAGTTGTTGATTTGGGTGTAGGGCGCCACAGCTGCCTTGTTACTCGGCGCTTGGTCAGGCTGCGGTCATCTGGGTCAGAGCTTAGGTCACATCAGCGGGCCGAGGGTTTGAGAAAGGTCGGTGGGTCAGGGGTCAGCGTAAGGTCACGTGGTTATGCCGGCGTCAGGCTCAGATCCACTGTGTCGTGGTGAGATCACGTTGACTGAACGGTGGGTTGAACGGGATGTGGTGGAGTAGTGTGTGTAGCATTTGATTTATGGATGCTGTGTGGGCTACAAAATGTCCATGCAATATGTTGTGGAAAGATGAAACCATGCTGTAAAAAGACCTTTGAGATATTTACGTACAAAATGAACCACGAAGCAATCACCTTTGAATTTGGGTAACTTCAGCAGTTTCATGTCAGTATTTTTACTTTAGTTTTCAGCATTTCCATGCGCACCGCTTACGCACAGGAACTGTTCAATAATTGATGGCATTGCCATCTCTTTACAATCACATAGCTGGCAACGAGGCTGGGATGGCACAGCAATTAGTGTTATCAATATTTCATCTTGCCTTTGTCCTCGACTTCGAAATGCGAGGTACGTTTTCAGTGATTCCAGCACCGCCCATACCGTTTGGACTCTCTTTCTTTGGGATTTACTCAGTTATGCGTGCTGCGCAGCTTGAGTGATGCGGTCAAGTATGCCAGAAGCATGAGTATTGTCTCAGCGTATCTGCAAGATTACCACAGTTACTTTGCTGACACTGTGTCCAACCGTTGGCGCTATTTCAGAGCTGTCACACTGCGATGCATCCATTATGAATCACGCGAGGCCATGAAACGCAAATGGCGTGTCATGTAATCAGCTTTCCACGACAAATAGTCCGCATCGACAGAATTACACGTCTCATACATTTTGCGTTTGACTCTAATACTCAACCAGCTAGTTGAGAAACATTTGCCGTCTCCTTCAGATTTCCAGCGTGATGACCCAGGGACGTGGCGATGGAAAAGAGTGGGTCACCAAGTTTGTCCTGTCGTACAGCGATGACGCCTATACATGGAAGTTCACTAACGACATCTATGGAAAGAAAAAGGTAATGATGCAAAGAATGGCCATGCCGGCATTGTCATGACTGGCGCCTACGGTTTGACGCCTAATCGTTGTCTGCATGCAGGATCTTGAAGAGATTGTACTCTTGCAACTGAACACGGGAACAACTGGATATCGGCGGACACCATAAAATGCACCCCCATGTTTCATTATCAGTCAACGTTCACGAAGAAGCCTAAGCAATACGTTACGTTGTCATCAAAAGCGCACCCCACTTTCTCGCAGACGTTCTCGGCCAACACGGACTCACACTCGCTGCGTCACCTGTACCTGGACGAGCCAATCACAGCTCGGTTCGTGCGCGTCCATGTGATGGAGTGGCATGGCCACCCCAGCATGCGCTTGGAGCTCATCGGCTGCCAAGGTAAGCAGTTGGCCAGGATACGTATCCCCCAGGACTTTATAAAAACGCTAATGCAGATCACGCTTCGAACGGAGCAAGAAACTGGCCCATTGTGTGATGAAGCTATCACGCACCGTTGGCGATTCTTTTGTATCGCTGATGAAAGAGGCAGAGCTATGGTCTTTGTAGTTCCTTCTTTGATTGTCTGACCTGACAGCCAGTGCCACAATTGGCACCAGCATGAACGGAAAAAGTCGACTAGATCACCGTGTCTCCAAGTGGCAGCATTTGTGGCTAATTTTAAAGATTCATCAGCTTATCGAGACTCATTTGATTCCACTCGATTTTTAAATTTATTTGGCGGTAGGTTCAGGTTGTGCACCGTACATAACTGACGTTTGAGTAAAAATAATAAACGGCTGTCAGTTGGCCAAGTGCCATCGCACATTTACTCATTTCTGCCCGCATAGTGGGTTCGTGATTGTTTCTCAGCAATGTTCTGTTCCTCTCTGCGGTCAGCCTTCAGCTAACTACCGTTGACTTATTCGTAGCGTCGTTAGCTGCACACCGATCTGTCCTGGCAGCGTGACGTCACCATTGTCGTGTTCTGTCTCAGAGCGTGGTCAGCTGCCCCCCATTCTGTTCTGACAGCGTGTTGTCACCATTGTTGTGCCCTGTCTCAGAGTGTCGTCAGCTGCCGTCCGTTCTGTTTTACCAGCGTGACGTCACCATTGTCGTGTTCTGTTTTGGAGTGTCGTCAGCTGCCCTCCGTTCTGTTCTGACAGCGCGACGTCATCATTGCTGTTGCGTTCCGTCTCAGAGCGTGGTCAGCTGCCCTCCGTTCTGTTCTTACAGCGTGACGTCACTATGGTCGTGTTCTGTCTCAGAGTGTCGTCAGCTGATCAGCGTGCCACCACACGCCAAGGTGACCGCCTCCAGTTCGCCCCGCTGGCGGAGGAGACGATCCTGCCAGCCAGAGGACGGCGTCATCTTCAGTAGCTCAGCCTGGTGCTCCAGGCACAAAAACAGTGAGCATTTGTGTGGCACATACACATCAAATATAAAACAGGGTTTGTATCAACTGGATAAGACCATATATATGCTCTTATTATTGATTTTGATTGATTGATTTGATATTATCTTATTGACCTGGATAAAACATGAATGGAGTGCGAGCACTTTAGGAGAGAACAGGACACTTTTACAAGTTGTCCCGTAAATTAAGCTTCCGCGCATCGTTTCTGACACTTTGATCGTCCCACAGAAAATCAGTGGCTTCAGTTCGACTTTGGCCCGCCACGCAAGGTGACCGGCATCTTGACGCTGGGCCGCGGAGATGGAAGGAGACAGCGGTACGTCGCTCAGTACAGCTTGTCCTACAGCAACAATAGCGTGGTCTGGCACTTCTACAAGGACGACAATCACCTCGACCCAAAGGTCAGCAAAAATACTGTGACATGAATCTAAAGCACCATTGAAATAACGTGTCATTTCTTCGGGCCAGTGGATGCTCCACGGGATGTAATGTGAACAGCTTTCCTGGTTAAGGCTTAGTGACTTCAGCGGGTTCTGTTTCGGTGACCCTGCTGTCCTCTTCTTCGGCAGGTGTTTGCCGGCAACATGGACAAGGTCACTGAGCGTCGCCACTACCTCAACCAGCCGTTTGTGGCCAGCTATATCCGGCTTCATCCTGTTGACTGGCACAAGCAGATTGCCATGAGGGCTGGAGTACTGGGTTGTCCCAATCGAGGCACCTGTGGCCCCGGCTACATGCGAGTCAACCAGGGGTCACCCTGCCGTGAGTGTGGGGCAGAGGGATTCTGAGTCTGAGGTGTGTGAGCCAGACTGAAATGATTTAGAAATCAAGCCCCATAACAGCTGTTTGTTTTCCCGCAAGCCCACTTCAGTCAATATGCGGCGAGAAATCGACAAACTAGGCACGCTTAAAAATATATCAAGGTCCATTCTGGTTTTGTCACACGGTTGTGATTTAGTTAGAGACCTGAGAGTTGGCGCGCATCACACGCGGCACAGTTTCGATAATAAATGAAACTGCGTAGACAGCTGCTACGGATCTGATAGACGCGGTTACGTGTTCTAGTTGAGAACATGGCGTACCAGCGGCCGACGTGGGTGAACGACAAGCGGCAAAGCTGGAAGGACTGGACCTACGGCAACTCGAAGCTGGCCGTGGACGGCGACGAGAGTAACCACCTCAACAAGTGCGCCATCCTCGACAACTATTACGTCGACAACCCCGTCTGGATGGTCGATCTGGGGCGTCGCAGGAAGATAAACGGGGTGGTGATGGCGCTCTGGGACGGCAAAGGCGAAGGTGAGTGGCACGCTATGGGACGGCGAAGGCGAAGGTGAGTGGCACACTCTGGGACGGCGAAGGTGAGTGGCACACTCTGGGATGGCGAAGGCGAAAGTGAGAGACAAAAAGTCCGGTTCGGATCATCTCAGATAGATCATTTGAGAGCGGTGCAGTCATCTTGGTGGATCACGTGAAAAATTGCAATATGCACGTAATTGATAGGTTCATGACCTTATTTCGTTGCAGCTTATTTCGCAGCTTCATCGCCCAGACAACTGCGTTTATGCGATAGCTCTGGAAGTTTAGCTCGCTTCCGATTCACACAGTCAAATATTTGCACTCGTAGCGCCTCAGATATTGCTGATTCCGTTGCAGACCAATCCACCCAGTACCGCGACTATGTACTCAACCTGGACAAGCTTAGCGTTTACGTCAGCAACAAGCAGCACGTCGTAAGCGTGGACGCGGGCACGGGCAGCAAGTGCGACTACGTCAGCCGGGCCAATAAGGCCCTCTTCCGGCCCCGTCTGCACGTGTCGTGCCCCAGGGAGCTGCAGGGCCGCTACGTCTACATCAAGGCGTATGGCGTGCCCAACCGCTGGCGCAAGCTCTTCACGGCCATCCTGTGCGAGGTGATGGTGTACTAGCGTAACCGCGGATTGCGGTTGACAGCGTAGTGGGCAGCAGCCGACACTAGTCTCGATCTGACGCCTCCGGAGGGACGCAGTGGACTCTGCTGGTCCGCCACTGTCGCCACTACGGGAGCTAATCTCAGCGTGGATAGGCTTGCTTCACGTGATTTGACTTAAAAAGTGATGCTTGTGCTTCATCGTCGCCGAGTAGAAGCGGGCAGGCATCCCGGGGCGCCGGGTGCGCGTCCAGTTCATCATCGTTGCGTCCGGTTCGGTTTGGTGGTGTAGTGCAGCAGCTCCACGGCAGGCTGCTAGATGGGGCCTATTGGTCGTCGTTGCATTTGTGGTAGGTGTCATGCGTTATGTGCAATCATGTGTATCAGCTGTCTAATAAAGCCTATTCATCCCGATGTGACGGGTGATGTGCCGCGGGAAAGGGAAGCGACAGTTATGTCTGCATTGGTGACCGAACTCAATTAGGGATGCGTTCGGAGACCACCGTGTCGTCAGAGCACTGTTGCCAGACACCAGATCTCATGGGACCATGTGTCTTCGACCAGAGGAGGCGCGGTTCGGGGGTACAGGTTGCGTGGGAGACCGTGCCACATGGTGCTGATGGATCACAGTGTAGAAAAAGCATTGGCCCAGAAGAGACGGTGAAATGTCTACCCAAGTGAACAGGGTGGACCAAGCTTGAGGAATATGCGGTGGTTTCGCCATGTGTTGAGTGATAACGGGGAAAGGACGTGTTTTCAAAAGCTCCTTAGCATGTAGCATCAGGCGTTTAATGTTTATTCGGCAAAGTTCGGGTTGCTCGTCCCTCCACTTCGTTTCCGATATGGAGTTGATGCAGTTGTAAAACGGGAACTTAAGACTTCTGCATCTCTGTGCGCCGCTGACAGCCGGCCTCCACCGTCATTTTTGTTGGCAGTAGATAACCATTTATCGGTTGTTATCGATATGGATTGATATAAATATCATCCTGAAGCCACAGAACCGCTTATCTGACCTATAATTCACTTGTCCTCAACAACAAGCCCTTATAATAACACCATGGCTGGAAAATGTTCATCGCCAACCAAATGCCAGCAGAACGGATCCAGTCAAGCATGGCAGCCGCCAGGTTGCGAGACTGACAAGCACCTTGTTTACTGTTGAGTCATTATCGGCCGTTCTGGAGCAGAAGAAGCGGATGCTGCCGGCGCCGTGACAATGACGGCCTCGTCTGGCTGTGGGGTTTTCACTTCTCGTCGGTTGGCGGCCGTCAACACATGCCACTGTTTTTGTTGGCTGAGTGGTTCGTCTGTGCCCTGCCGCCGCGGCAGCCGGCAGTGAGTCGGCATCTATGCAGCGCGCCGACCTCTCTCGCCAGCGCCGAACCGAGCTCGGAAGCGCAGATATTGGGCCACTGTGTACAGACGCAGTGGAAGCGCCGTCCCGTTCGTGCGAGCAAGATGGTGCTGATGCTATGAAGGTAACACTTGGATAGCTATATATGTTCTAAAATGCTTTCTGTAACTTTCGAGTGGATGGGGTTTCCGAGATAAGAGGTATCACTAAGCCGGGCGTTTTGCGTGAGCCCTGAAACCCATCATTAGATGGCAGAATTTTAGTTCGACGGCTGAATTTGGTGGCGAAAGTTTAACGTGCTGCAATGCTCGGCACGGAAAGTCCTGCTTTATGACGTCACTTGAGCTCAGCGTGGTCGCAGTCACCGGCCGCAGGCCATCGCTGTCAAGGATAAATAGTGAGTGCCTCAAGCGACTCGAACCCATCACGCCACGGGTGGGTGGATCAGAAGGCAAGTGCACTGACCAACCGTGCTATCCGGACGGAAAATGTTGGGATTTATGGAATGGAGGAAAATAATGTGACTTCTGGGTGAGCAATTTGTTCGTTAATATGCATGCATTGATAACATACCAAGTGTCAATAACGTGATGAAAAACGAAAATAAATGAGTTGCTCACGGACCATGGCTATCAAACATAGTACCAACACTGCCGGCATGTCCTCTGCAATTTAAAATCGTTCGTTATCATGAACGTGTGAGAAAAGGTCTAAAAAATGGCGTTCTGTTCTCTTTGCTTCTCCATGCTCCTGCTGTGAAGGACCACACTGCGCAGCTGCTTTACGGGTAGATGACGTTGTTCACCATAGATGGTGTTGATTGAAGATGCGGCATTATTCCTAACTAAACTAGTATTTTTAGTGCCTGTCAGAGGAGCAATCTATGTACGACGTGCTCAAGCTGCGCCTGCCTGGCTGCTTGTCCCGTTTTGTGCTGTGTTGTGCCCGGGGTCGAACGTCGGGTCGCTCAATGGTGAAATCTGGACACGACGCGCGGGCGCACAAGCCGGTTTTCCACACGTAGCTGGCGGGCTGCAGCGGTCCGGAGTTCGGGCGCGGCACGTGCCGGAAGGGCCCTCTTAGTCCCATTGGTACATCACGGGCGGGCTGAGAATGTTACCGACGACAAACCCGACGAGCAGCCGTTTGAAACCGTAGCAACATCTCGTTGACCAGGGTTCGGAGCGACTAGAAATTGGCACGTCTCAACGGGCAATCAAACTGAAAATCGTGCTGTTTTCATGTGTGCTTTTTGACGTGTTTCGGGTCATACAAACACAAGCAATCGAGATGTATCATACCATTTGAACAGCTTTCAGGTTGTGTACCATTGTTCGGCAGCTGGAGTGGGTGGAGGCGCAGATCTAGCATTAAAGAAAGTGTACCGTCGGCAATTCATACGGCTGGACCAGAAACCGTCATTTCAAAAAATCTTTCGAAGGCGACACGCCACCGTGGAAATTCTTGCATGGTCTGAGAGAAATTTGCATGGCTGCATGCACCGATTCATCACCTGCATCTAACACCAATTTACTTGTCATTCTGTACAAGATACGAATACCGTATGAACTACAGCTCCACCTGAAGGGATGCAATCCATATTTTCGCGCCGCCGAAAATGTCACATGGCTCAGTGGCAGATGACTCTGTTATAGGTGTATACCCGCTCACAAACATCTCTTTTCCGCCTCAAAATCCTAGAATATCTTGCAACACAGACCGAAGCCAGCCCTCGAATGCACTACAACAGTGCGTAATCTGGGGTTTACCGTCATGACAACCGCGGTTTAATTTTGTGACGACATGAAATCCTCTGACCAATCAAAAGGACGAAGATGATGTCCAAATTCGCGGCTTCCCCAAGGCCATGGGCTCCACACTACACTACACTACACTACACGGAGACCGGCGCGTTCTACCTTATAGTTTCTATAGCCTTGGCTCTGTCGATGCCGGCGAGTTTTCAAATAAAACAACCAAACGTCGCACGTGCCGTATCTTGCCGGCGGTCGGTACCCTCAGTTGTTCAGTTTTAGTTCTTGTATTCTTTGCGGCGACAAAGATAAACCACGGAGACGATCGTATGTATTATTTCAACCACTTGCTTTGGGAAATGTCGAAGAAATAACGCATGTGGAGTGCAGAATAATTTGCAACGGGTGCGATAAGGGCACTCAAGGCATTGCAGTAATTTTTCCACTGCTACGGCCAACTGTCACGGCAAAAACGTACTCCCGCTGTCTTCGTGAGATGCGTTTTGGAGTCACTGCAGAGCCCAACACCTGAGGAACATTGCAGCATCATTGCCAAGTGGCAGAGGGGAAATTAGGGAGATTTGGCATTGACAAGCGACAGTAAGAACGGTTCCCTTGAAGCTCTGGGAATACCTAACAACACTCCAGCCATGGTGGAAACTTGCGAGGACAAAACTTGGAAGCTGAGTAATCGCAGATTTTGTCTTAGAAAGCAGGTCGTGGGGTAACTACATCACAATGACCCAGATCATGTCTCTGGATGATTTCACATGATGGTTTGGTGTGTCCATCAGCTTCGACGACGCGTTACTATATGGCGCGTAATCGGTTAGCGCAATGACGGAAATGTTTTTCAGCTTTCAGTTAATGCTTTCATCGTGGGTGTACGTTGCGTTTTGAAACAAATATAGTTCTTCTACTATCTAAAACCATTTCTTAGCACGCATACGCACATAAAAAGGCGCGGAAGGTGCGAGTGGTCACCGACGGACTTCCGTCCAGGGAGCAAGAAAATAATAGGGGTGTAGTGGCTGAGTGGTCGGCGCCTGGGACTGCCACGTGGGGACCCGGACTCGACTCCGGGTTACGCCATGGCCGCTGAGAGCTAATATGGGTCAATGCAGTCGCTGGCGGGGCGTGCCAACGTATGTCACATTTCCTTTACTTATATAAATTATCCAGATAAATAGTACCATCCATCCGTCAGGCGACTAGACAACGCGCTTCTTAGCAACAGTTTAAAGTGGAGAAACAAAAACACACCATGTGAAATGCAGACTAATAAACCCCGACCTCAAATATATTATATATGTTTCTCTTATTCAACATTTTCTAACAATCGATTATGCCATGTAACGCCAACATCAAGAAAATAGACAACGGAATGCTTTTCTGTGAAAACTGGCTTAAAAGGTGTAAAACAAATTTAACACAAGCCTTAAATAGTAATACTTTAAGCAACGCTGCGGTTTCGGCAACATCGTATCTATGCACAGTATCGTAAAAGCAGACCACCGTGTTACACGGGAACCAGTGTCCAGAACGACATGCCATCATAAGTACACACCGCTGAGGTAATCTGTCTGTTCTGAAGTTCAGTCGGCCTACACTTGGGTTGGAGTCGTCTGGTGCTGCCCACGCGGCGCGGCGTTACCTCGCTGACGTCAGGACACGAGCTGAGCCCGGGCTGCCTGCGTCGTCAGCAGCTGGCCCACCCCCAGTTCACGGCTTCCAACGCTCAAAGTGACCCTACAGCACGCTGGTGAGCGCGAGGGTCAGCTAGAGCATGCAAATGTCGATCCATGTTTTGAACCGGTGCCACGGTTTCAGGTTTACTGCAGGTGCCTGTTGGATACTGTTACAAAGGTGCGACTTGAAAACTTGTTGATTATCGCTGGGGTGTCAAAATACCGCGGCATATTTCAATGTGGATGATTCTACGCAAGCGCATTTCTGGTGATCCAACACACCCAGCTTTAATTCATTGATATTGCTCATAAAGAACAGGTAGCACAGAAGCACCACTCACTCAAGGCAGCACCACTCAGCCACTCATCAGCTGCCAGCGCGATGTCTCAGAGGTGGCCAGCGACCGGTGGCGACCGGCGACCGGTGGAGTGGCGATTAAGGGGAGTATTCCACCTTTTAGTACTTTTCGCTTTTTGTTAGATCAGACGTGTGCGATTTGATAAGGAAAGCCAGTTTTCTCGAAACATTTTTGGATAGCTCAAAATTTCAATTTGAAGTCGCCGCTCCTGTGGGAGAAATCTCATTAAACTTACCTCTCACTTCTTAGAAAGTAATAC